GTCTTCTCCTGCAGAGAGAGAGGAAGCCTCTGTGTTTTCTCAGCATATTGTTCCCAGTTCCTCTTCCATGCCTCTCCTCCCAGTTCCTGCTTTGCTCAGAGCAGGAAGGCGCTTTGGAAATTCCTTGCTGCTAGCCTCTTTCTTCTCACCCTCTCTTCTTCTCCCCCCTTTTTGCTGTTGCAATTAAAAGCATCATGAAGCTTTCTCCAACGTTTCAATCCTGCCCCCACCCTCCATGTTTTCCTTTTACCCATCCCAACACTGCATCACCAGCCCTGTCCAAAGCAGTGCCATTTATTGGGATCATCACGGAGGGGGATGTTTAATTGGGAAGCCCCAGCACATCCAGCTGCCCGGCACCGGTCATTAGGTGATATGTGCTCCTTGCATGCTGGACCACAAAGCTAATGACACATCCTGGGGCTCTTCCAGGAGTTTGGGAGGTGCAGTGGGTTAGATTTACTTCATTTTCTTGGAAGAGACACATTAACCTTGTCAGCTGGCCAACAGGAGAGGAAATTTGGCAGAGCTCTTGCTGAGCTCGCCAGGTTACCACAGCGTTAAAGGGTTGTACTTCAGTGAGCAACCAGAAATGGCAATACACGGGCACAGCACCTGCACAGCCACCATGGAGACACCACTGAGAGGCCTCCTCTCTTACAGAATTAGCTCCTGTAGCAAGAGAGAAGAAAGGGTGAAAAAAATTCAGGAGCTTTTCAGTGTTGTCAGAGGTGGGGAGGATAAAACTTCACTTCAAAGTGCCTGTAAAGGAGCCTGCTCTTATTTCTGGTGGTGGGAAATCAATGCTGTGCCATGATAAATACCTGCTGTCCACTGTCTTTCTAATTCAACCTTTCAGAATTTGTTCCAGCTTTTGAACAAGTGGTGAGTTAACTCTGGATAACAACATGACATTTTAGTCATCCTTTTAGTCATGCTTTGGGAAGAGCAAGGCTGCTCTTGTTCTGGAGCTGTGGAATTCTGATGGCAAGTTCCCAGGCTCTCCAGCCACGTGCCGTTGCCTACTCGGGCAGTTCTGGGTCACTGCATGAACACGACTTTTTTTCCCACCCTTCATGTTTGCCTGCTGGTGTCACTCCACCAAATATCTGTGAGGGACAAATGGGGGTGAAGGCAGAGGTAAATGGGAGCGAGGAGGAGTTTGGATGGAGAGTGGATACCAGCTGGATGAGGCTTCTGATGGGATTTGTAGGGTGGAAAACCCAGTGCACCACATGATGGGGCTGAGCTGTGTGAGATGTGGGCTCCTCAAGGAGCATCTCGAGTGCAAGCCCACGGCTGGGGAACACAGTGCAGCTCGCGGAGTGAGTCTGCGCTGGAAGCAAATCTGCCTCTTCTCTTCTCTGATAATCCCTGCTCACCCTCCCCCCTTCCAGTGCCCAGTATTTATGTTTCTACATAATAATGATGTGATGTGGCTGGCAGAGTAATTTAAATAATTGGACATTATCTTGAGAAGCAAGCACCTAATTAGATCAAAATAAACGGAGAACTGAAATTTTCATCTGTTTCTAATAACCTTTTACCTATGTACAGTATTGCTGCTGGATTCACACCACTGTGTGTTCGTGGGGTTCACGAGTGATGGAAACTCCTGCAGCAGCAAAGAGCTTAGTGGCACTTCCTGGACAAGATTGGTGACTCATTCCTGGTTCTGTAGAGTGTTTTACTGTATTTTCCCCTTTATGAGGGGCAAACACAGTGAGATTTGGAGTCTGTACCAGCAGATGCAGATCAAGGTTTGAACGCAGATATTTAGAGAGAAAAGGCTCAAAGAACATCTGACCTTAGGGCTCTGTTGTTCATTTCTCTAAGTTTATCTAGGAGCTTATAATCTATTTTGCTGCATATGAGGAAGAGGCAGCTCAGACCTTCTCCGGTGTTTGGTGTCATTGGGACCATCAGAGCATGTGAAGATGTTTCTTCTACAGCAGTCCAGCTTTGATTTGGTCCTGAGACAAGGACTCCAGTGCTGAAAGTTCACTGAAAAGAGTCTTGGTTTGGCTTTGACAACTACAGCTGGAAGTGTCTGGTATGGAGAGGATCATTTAGAATTGCCAGGATTGCAATTAAGGGAGAAAAAGAGGAAATATTTACTAGCCTTTATTTTAGGGACTGGTTCAGTGCCTTTCTCCTGATAAGTTGGTCTCCCTCACACTTCCTTGTGCTCTTATTCAGTTGATTTATTTAAAGGTATGCCAGTGCTGGCTGAAATGAAACACTGTGCCTCCTCTTCCTGCTTATTGCTGACCGCTCCAATAATTCATTTTTTAGCTCATTAACTAACAGGGGATGTGAGCAGTGGTCCTCCGGGGAACTGCAATGAGGCTAAGTGATCTACTGCTGACAACTCTGCTCTTGGACTGGCCTTCCTTGGGGGAGATGAAACCTCAACCAAGACAAGCTGTGGATCCCAGAAGTGAAACTGGGGCATCAGAGCAACAATTGCAGTATTTATGTCTTCTTGTCTTGAGATGAATGCAAGTGGCAGAGCTGCAGTGGTCTCCCAGGAAAGTCCCCAGGACTTCCCATCCAAATTAAATGGTTTGTGCCAGAGATGGAGGCAGGATGGTTGTGGACATTGGCTTTCTAGATGCTCACTGGAAAGCAGTTCCTGTGTGTTGTGGCTGTCCATGAGGTGTAGTCCAATGTGCTTTTCCTCCTACCTCTGGTGAGGTTTTGTTTTCGACCCTAACATCCAAATCTTCCTTGTGCCCAGTTTGTACTGTTGAAAAAGACCTGAATCTCACTCCATACTGATGTCAGTGATGTGCTGTCCCAAATGTCTCTGAGGCCTCTGAAGCACCTTTATTTTGATTTATAGTTCCACCACAACCTTTGATGTGACTGCAAAGGTGGAACTGCGCCTTACTGAGTGAATTCACTTGGTGCCCACTACTGAGGCAGGTGGCAGCACATTCCCCTTCCTGTGACATTGGTTTCTAAAGAGTTTCCTGTTCTTTTCCCAGCCTTTTGAGGCAGCAGAACAAAACTGAGCAGGACTGGGACATCCCTGTCTCTTTCTTGCATCCTTCCAGGAGCATGAGGGTTGCCCATGTGACGAACAGCAATGTGAAATTCATGCTGATAGATTGGTGAACCAGCAGCTCCAGGCTTTGAGAGCCTGCCTGAACTAAGCGGTTATTCTCTCTGTTTAGCATCACTATTACAGTTTAGGCTGAATGCTGATTGGAAGTGGGACACTAGTGTCAAACAGCTTTTTTTCTCAATAGAACGGGACATTTTCCTGAACCACGGCAATCACGGCAACCTTTGATCTGATAGGAGTCAAAAGTTTCTCTCACTTCAAAGATGGTGTGGGGGAGAGGGAGATTAATTTACAGACCCTTAACTAAGCTAAAAAAAAAGAATACTTACGTATATGAGGAATATTTTGCCTTTAGGATGTATGGACATACGAAAAAAAATTCCCAGAGCCCCTGGTGTGTGTTACTGTGGGTGAACAGCGCAGGTTGAATCACCTCATTTTCCAGTCTGGCATGTTTTAAACGTTGGTTATATTCTCAATACCTCTGTGTGTGTTTAAAAATCGTGTGAGATCTTTGCTAACATCCTTGAAGATAATCTAGCTGGATACTGGGAGTACAGCTGTTGCAAGAATGCCCATTTTATGGTAGATAATTGCCGGTTACTTTATCCCTTTCGTGGCACTGGTTCTAGTTTGGCTTTTTACCTTAAAAAATGTAATTAGAAAAAACATGAATTAAAGATTCTGATAACAGAACTCCTTTTCTTCCTCCTTTCCATCTGGAATACCTGCAGCGATACTCCATTTATCAGATCCTGCCATCAAAGGTTAATTTGCAACTGCCCAGATGGGTTGTGGAAGGGTTTTTTTGGTGTGTCTTTTAGCTTGCAGGAGTCGCTCAGAGGCTGGAGGTAAAAGAAGCACTCTCTGTGTTAATTTTCTGTTTGCACTTTTGCTCTGAAGAAAAGCCCTGGCCCTGTTTGTGGGGCAAGCTGTGGCCGGGGCAGGGAAACTGTGCCTGCTTTGGGAAGATGTGCCTGAAAGCATCCAGGCAGGTCACAGCAAGGTCACTCCACATGTCCCAGGAAATGATGCAAAACTAATCCAGATTTGCTGGTGGAAGGAGATGTTTACATAAGTATTTAAAAACAGATTAGGGCTAACCTGACACTAGATTACTGGGAGCAGTGTAAACACGGCTGAATGGCGTAAACAGAGCTTGGCCTTTTGTACTCCGGAGGAGAGAATCTGTCACCAGGACCCAGTTGCCTGGCTCAGGTGATGTTTGTGGTTTTCACAGGCTGAGCAGACTACCTGGGGGACCTCTAAATGGGACTTTGTCTAGGGCTGCTGCTCTCAGATCATGTAATTGTATGGTAATTTTTGAAATGGCGACTGGAGGACCTTGTTTGTAGTCCTTGTTCTGCTGTAACCTGATAGCACCGAAAAGCTTCTGATGGTTCTTTGATATACCAGGAGGAAAAGGCGCTTCAAAGCAATGGTTTGAATTTGGGGAAAACCAGAGGAATCATCCTTGGGAACATTACTCAGCTTGGAGAGGGACAAAGCCCCCATTTGGTTACTTCTGGTCTGGGGTACAGAAATTGGGTGCATTTTTTTACAGTGCGTTTTCCAGCCTTGAAGTGGCACCTGGCTGCTTGTTGTGTCTTTGGTCTTTGTGACAGTGAGGGCTCTTGCCCTGACCTCGTGCTGGCCCAGAGCTTTTTAAGACCTCTGGCTGTTATGATCCTACAGCCCGGTGGGCACAGCATCCATCAAGGATGATCTCGAGCACTCGAACAGTAAGGTGGACATCACAAATATTGCTAAAAATATAAGGTTTGGGTGAACTGCTCCTAAGGTTTGGGTGAACTGTTCCTGTGAGGGTTTTCTTGACATAAATTTGAAAGGGGAAATGCCCTCCTTGTTGGTTGAGCACTGCTGGCTGCAACACCAGGTGAGCGTGACCTGTCCCCTCTGGCTTCCCTAGGGAAGAAAAAGAGCTCTGGATACGCGCCAAGTACGAGCAGAAGCTCTTCCTCACCCCACTGCAGTGCCTGGAGCTCTCTCTGGGCCAGCATCTCCTGAGGGCCACGGCCGAGGAGGACTTGCGGACGGTGATCCTGCTGCTGGCCCACGGCACGCGGGAGGAGGTGAACGAGACCTGCGGGGACGGGGACGGGCGCACCGCCCTGCACCTGGCGTGCCGCAAGGGGAACGTGGTGCTGGTGCAGCTCCTCATCTGGGTAAGGACTCGCTGCGGGCAGGGCGCCTCAGCAGGACGGGCGGGGGGCTCCATGGCCCCAGGGTGGGAGCTCCTCACCGCACGCCTTCGCAGGGCGGTGCAGGAGCATGTTTCTGCTCTCTGCTGCTCGTCGGAAAGCGAAGGAGAGCATGGGGAACGAGGAAGGAGAGATTCCCTTAGCTCGGAATCTGCTGGGGCAGACTGTGTCCCATGCATGCGACTCCCTCCCTCGAGAAACACCTTTACCGTGCGTGGCTCGTCAGGCCGCTCCCTCATCTTCCCTTACGTCCAACCCCAAATGCCCTCCCGAAATGTTCGCACCACGGCCCCAGCAGGTCCCCTCTTGTCGCCCCGCAGTACGGCGTGGACGTGATGGCGCGTGACGCCCACGGGAACACGGCGCTGGCCTACGCCCGCCAGGCCTCCAGCCAGGAGTGCATCGACGTGCTGCTGCAGTACGGCTGCCCCGACGAGCGCTTCGCCCTCATGGCCACCCCAAACTTGTCCAGGAAGAACAACAACCGCAACAACGGCGGCGGGAGGATGCCCACCATCATCTGAGGGGAGCGAGCTGGCGCGTTCGCTGACCCCGGTCACGTCCGCAGCCTCACATTCCTCCATCCCCATCGCAGCGCCGCTCTGTGAGTCCGGTACCTCTCCTCCTCCCTTTTCCCCCCGGTCCATCCCGAGCGCCAGGCGGGGCGCGGGGGCCGAGAGGAGCGCGGGGGCCGCGGGCAGGCCGGCGTCTCCGTGCACGGCGCGCGCGGCGCCGGCGCCGCCCCGGGACACGGCACCGCCAGGGACGGGCCGGGGAGAGGCCAGCCGGAGCAGAAGGAAGGAAGGAAGGAGAGACGGTGACTTTCCCTAAGTGACAGTGAAGCACATCAGAACATTTCACCTCTACGGAATGCGGCGACGCCTGGATTTCCATTCTCTTCTCCTGAAGAGCTTGACGGCATAAATCAGAAGCAAGCACAGAGTTTGTCAGGTTTGAAGCTCCTATGATGGTATGTGTCAAATCAGTTGTAGCTAATCTGTCCGGGGAGAATACTGGCTTCATTACACTTGTATAGTTGAGTTCTTCCAGCATTACTGCTGTTTAATAGAACATGATTAGTCATCACGGAGAAAAAAGCATATTAGCTGAGGAGGTAGTTACATGGCACGCTTCGGTGATTGCTTGGATGTGATTGCAATATTCTTAGAAGCATCATATTATCTCAGACATGTTCTTTCGAGCCCTTGGAGCCCTCCTTTCTAAATTCACTGTCATAATTTAGTATCTGTTTAATTTTTCAGTCCAAAGAGAGGAAATGAGTTGCTGAGTGTTATTTGACTGCAGTCTCCTTGGTGTAAAAACAAAATGGAAAAAATAAATAAGAGTAAGCCTGAAACACAAAAAGGAATAATGAATACCACTATGGAAAACAACATTTCAAGTACGTTTGGTGAAATTAATAAATGCATTAAAGGCTAATTTTTTTTTTTTTTTCGTTATGTTTTCAGCCAGCTGAAATACATTCTGTCATTTTGCCAAGGTAAATTGTGTTGAGTTTTTGGTCACTCCTGTGATGCATTGCCTAACTTATACAGATTTTTGTATTGTGTCTCTAGATTCTATGTATTTAAAATCTATTTGAATAAAAAAAAGACCGTAAATATACATTGATTTTTTTTTTTGTACAGAAAATGACATCTCTGTTAATTTATAAACTGTAATGGATGTGAGCTAAATAATGTGCAACTAGTTAGGATCTGTGGGTTACAGATCATTATTGTACATTGATAACATTCCCAGCAGTGAACTCTTCTTTCCAAAGCCTGTGAGGAACAACATATCAGAAGGAGATCAGGGAAGGAACAAAAGCCTGTGAGACCTTTCAGAAAGGAGAAAAGAGGCCGTTCCTCAGCACTGTAAATATATTTTACTCCAGAAGTCAGGAAGCTTTCATAAGCCAAGACAAAAAGGCCCATTCTGGCTGGGGGAAGATCAGATTTGATTAAGTTCAGAATTGATAGCCTTCACCGCGGCGGGCAGGGCACGGCTGCGCTCCCTCCCAGCCCGGCTGCTTTCGGCAAGAAAAATGGCTTGTGGAAGTGGCCTGGACAGTTCATTTCAATTCCAAGTTTCAACACTTGATTGGGTTAGTTTGGTCTTACATCCCAGCTTCTCCTGCTTCCCACTAGCAGGATTCTGGCGTGGGGAAGCAGAGGTTTTGGCAGGCAGAAAAGTTGATTTTTTTGGGTTTTTGTTTTGTTTTGTTTTGTGTTTTGGGGTTTTTTTTAATTTTTTTTAATTTTTTTTTCTTTTCTTTTTTGAAGTGTCATATGGCAATGTGAGGATGGGGGCATGGTTTATCATGGAGAAAGTTGAAAACTCAACTGAATTCAATGGCAAAGGAGCAATTATGTGAAGGCAGTGAGGTGCACACAGCAGAGTGATTTGCAGATCGACCTGCTCCTGTGTATTTCCCAGACCTTCAGTGGTGCTCTTCCTCGGGGCTCTGGCTTTCATCCAGCACACAAATGGGAGGAGCAGTTGCTAAATAAACTGAATGTGGACAAAATGTGAAGGAAGAAATCCGATGTGGTTATCTTAAGGAAAAGCAAAAAAATGAGACATTACGGATTTGAGGCAAAATTGTGGCTGAAAAACGAGCCTTGATATGGAAGCACAGGAATATTGACCAGCTTCTCCTCTTTGATGGTGTTGTCCTTTCCTACTTTGTTGTTTTCTAGACCTTTGAGTATCTGGGGGGTGGGAATCTTTCTCCAGCCAGCCTAGGCTGACTGCACCAGACACATCCCTTCCCACTGGGATACTTCTAAATATTTGATTTTTTTTTTTTTAATTAAGAAAAGGTGTCTGTTTGAACTGCCATTTCTCCACCATTCCTGACATTTGGTACTTACAGGTGGTCCCTCAGGGAGGGGATAGCCCAGCTGATGTGCAGCTGAAGGGGATGCTGTGAAACCCCCTCTGTGTGCTGGTGCTCAGGAGCTTTGCCACAGCAGGGATTCAGGAATGGCAATCCCAGAGGTGCTAGAGCTCCCTCCTGTTCCCCCCAGGAGCATCCAGGGCATTTGTATCCCAAAAACCAAGTCCAGTGTTTCAAACCCACAGTGGGCAGGGTTCAAAGTGCACATTCCGTTTCAGAGCTGGGGTTTTTTTCTTGATTGAGATGATTTTCTGTACATTGTTTAATGCTCTCTTTGGGCCACCTTCCTATAACAAGGCTGGGGGTGATATTTTGAGAAACAAGGGCAGCCAGGCAGATTGCAGGTAGACAAATTTCGTGGTCCTTTCCTAAAAGTCTTCTGATGGCAGCCCTTGAAAAAGCACAGAACATTTTTAGGAGAGGAAATTCCAGTGTATTGCAGGAAAAATTATGCATCCAGACAAGCCAAGTGGTACTTTAATTAAGTGGTTACACAGTCCCAGCAGAAACCCAGCAGCCAAAGCTGTTTTCTCTAAACGGAGTCTGCAGCAGTGGTTGTCATTGCACCCGCCCCAGTCCTTCCCCTCATCCCAGATACCTTGAAATCCCCCTTCCTCTGCACTTTATCCACGACTAAAACACTAGAAGCCACTCAGCCATTGGTGTTTCCATATTTCCTCCTCTCCTTGGCTAATTGCTGTGGAATTCAGTTGGATGTGTCACAGCTGAACCTGGATATTGCCGGGGACAGTTGACTTCTTGTTCTTCATGAAGAAGAAAGACCCAACCTTGGGAAAATGCAGGGCCCTCCCCTAAATGAAGATTTGACCAAGTGCTCCCATCACCAGATTTCCAATTCTGATGGTTAGGAAAAGGAGCAGGAAAAAAAATTCTAAAAAGCTTGGAGAACCTTGGTGCTGCTTGGAGAACCAGGTGAGCTCCTGGAAGGTGGAGAGGATTTTGAAGCATCTGGGTGCAGTGTAAAATAACCATGTAAACATTAACATTGTGTAATTCGCTGTCTTGTCCCCCTTCCCTTAAATTATTTGTGTTAGTGCAAGAAAAATAAAAAGCTTTAGCTGCACTTGGAGATTTCTCTGGGCCAGAGAAGGCCGAGTCATGTAGGGAGAAGAGTCGAGGTGGGAATGCAGATCCAAGTTTGGAAGTGATCTCTGGCACTGTAATGTAGAATAATTAGATTATATGGGGTTGGAATAGCTTCAGCTTTTATATTTGTATGGAGATCGGGAGAAATGAAGTAATTTGTAGTTTCTAGTATAAAGTAGTGGTAGTGGAGACAAGCACAGATTTCACAAGGGGGTCCCCCAGGGGCCCTTCCCAAACGTCTCGGGGAGCCGCCTTTGCACCTTAACAGGGATGGTTGTTGGGGTTTGTTGTTGGTGAAATGGTCATTTCATGTTTGGTTACGTGGTTCTTGTCAGAGGGGGGACTGGAGGACAGCATTGGGGACCAAACTTTGAGGCAGCTTGGCTGGAGAGGAGACAACTTCCCCATCCTCATCTCATTGTCAGGCATCTTCCTTCCCCCACCATGGGGTTGCTACAGCAATCCTTAGGTGGGATCTCTGCCTGTTGGGCCTGCATCCTCAGTTCCACCCCTTCCATTCTTGATGATTTGTGGGTAAAATTTACTGCTTAGAAAACCTGGTTTTGGATGTTCTTGTGTTTGCTGCACAACAGGAAAAAAAAAAAAAAAACAAAACCGCTACAGAGTAAAGTTCTTTTCAAGGTAGAAAAGAAACACTGAACTACCCCGAATTCAGAGGTTCTGCAGTGATTTTTGAATTCTAAGTTCCCAGAAGAAGAAGGTTGACTTGAATGGTTTTATTGGAAAATAATGTCCTGTTTGAAAAAAATAATAGAGGTCATAGAGTAAAACATCCAGAGCTGTAGATGGGTGAATTTGTTGGTTTAGGATATTTGTAGGTTTTGCTTTGTTGTTTAGCATGGGCCAGTTTTTACAGTAAATAGTGGGACAGTTTACCTTGAGTTGACTGAGCCTGTCCCACGCTTTAAAGGGAGGTTTGAGGGCTTTTGGCCAGGATTGTCAGGAGCTGTGAATAGTTCACGTTTAGAGAGGGGAATTGCATGATTTCTGAAAAGTAAAAGGTCGGTTTGGGGGTTTTTTTTAGGGCCATCTTCAGCCCAAAATTGCCAAGCATGTTTCTGGCCCCATGTTTTGTTTCAGGGTGACAGCAAGATGTGGATGAATCAACTCCCATCGTTTACTACCATGTTCAGGGGGGAGAATTTTGCTTGTGGGTGGATAAAATAAAGATGTCTTTGTGCATTTCAGCAGTTTTAACCTCTTCATCTCCCCGTGCCTGCCTGTACCCCAAACCCCCGTGGCGCACTGGGTTCTGTGGGCAGGCAGAGCCTCAGCTTCCCCTCAGCCATGCATTTTCTGGATGTGGTTTTTTTCTTTAGCTTCCAGTGCTAAGGACTGGCTGTTTAGCAGTGCTTCAGAGCTACTAATTTTTACATTTGTGTGTTCTGTGCAAAATGTGAAGGGGGTGGGTGGGGGACCCTTCAGAGGTCTCACGGCATGCCTTGGGGGTGGTGGCCACGTTGCTTGCTGGCAGTGAATGCACCCTGCTCTTCCCTGCTTGTCAGAACTGATCCATGTGGGATTGTTGTTGTTCCTGAGAGCTGAAGTAGCTGCAAACACTTCCCTGGCCTTCAGGAATTGCAGGGAACGAGGAGGAAAACCCCTCACAGAGACAGCTCGTCCACGTCTCTGTGCTCCAAACCCCAAATTCCTCCTGCAGGACCCAAGAAGGGTTTTGGTGCTGAGTGTGGGGTTTTCTGGCATCCCAAATGTAGGAGTTGAGCTGAGTTGGACCGATGGGTGACGTGCAGCCAGGGTTGTCCTGAGCCCTTGGGTGTCTCCTGGAGGTCACTTTGCACTTGCTCTGTGTGTGTATGTGCTGGTGCCTGCTCCTCACACTGCTGGCAGGGCTTGTGGGAATGCCCCAGTCAAGAGCTGGAGCCAACCTTTGGTTGGAGGTTTTTCCCAGCTGGAGTCAGACCTGCCACTTCCAAGGAGGCAGGATGGGGGATGCTGGCTTGAGGGATGAAGAGGTGCAGGGAGATGAGGTCCAGGCTTGCTGCAGCCTCAGAGGTTTTCCAAAAATCCAACTCCTTCAGGCAGCAACGTTCAGCTTGAGAAAACCTTGAGCTCGGCCTCCAGGACTGGAGGGGAGACATCCCCCCCACTTGCTGGCGAGGGGAAATCCCAGGTCACCAGCCCTGGGGGTGGGAAGCTCCAGGGAAGGAGATTCTGAAGGTAGAAAGGAGAGTCTTGCACTTCAGAGGCCCTTTTTAACACCAATTTGCTTGAGGCTCATCTTCCTGGCTGAACCCGAGTGTGGGACCACTGAGCTGGGGGAGATTCAGCAGCACTTGGGGTCCTGCTGCCTTTTGGGGCTGTTTGGGATAACAGGGAGATGTTTCCAAGTGAGATGTTCCTCAGAGCTGTTCTCCAGCTGGGTTCTTGCCCAAGGGCAGCTCCTCATCCCTCCCTCCACGTGTTCTTGGCCATGACTGGCTCCAAGATTTTGCTGTGAGGGTGCCACAAACCTCAGGTGCCACAGTCTGGGAACAGCTGAGCCGGAGTTGTCGACACCATCTCTACCCTGGCTTTGGTCTCTTGTCCTTCCAGGGTCAATCCATAGGGAGAGGGCAAGGAAGGAGCTGTGGAGAGAGCCATGGCTGGGTGTGTAGAAGCAAAGGGAGGATCTTTCATTTCCCACTCCTTCAATTCCTTTGAAGTGCTGTGGAAAACCTGCCCAGTGTTTTTTCCTGAGGTAACCAGGGACTCAGCTGGATTCTCCACTGAATCTGCAGAGGAAAAGAGGATGTTCCCATCCTCTGACAGCACGCAGCTCCCTGCTAGTCCCAGGTGTCCAGGGCTTGGCCCAGCTCCCTGTTACTGTGTCACTGTCAAGAGCACCTTTCACTGGCACACTGCATGTGGTGCGCAGACTGAGGGGTATCTGGGGCAGGAGCATCTCCTAAAACACCAGGGACTCATTTCGTGATGTTCTTGACTCACCTTGGAATGGCCAAGAGCTCGGATCTGCAGCTCCTGCTGCCTTAAAGCCCCTGGGCTTCAGCAGGATTTGAGCATACCCCAAATGCTTGGCCCGGCTCCAACCTGCAAAGGCTGGATTTGGTGTTCAGCCCCCAAATAATCTTCCAGGTCTTTCTGCTTTGTAGTGTTTGTCTTTCCAGTAGAGTAGGGAGGGAGCCCAGGTGAGTAGGGGACACCTGCTCAGGGTAGAGGCAGGAGATAGCTAGCACATGGCAGGCTTCATAGCAAATCTTGGGTTGTTGGGGTTTGGGTTTTTTTGTTCGTTTTCTGTTTCTGTAAATAATAATGTATAAATGATGACGAGACAGTGTGGAAATTCTAAAAAAAAAAAAAAAAAAAAAAAAAAAAAAAAGAGG